TGTGTTTTTGGACCCTGACCCCGCGGATCTGCGTGAGGGGTGTCGATTTCGAGCCCCCCCAGCAATTCAGACAACGCCCCGCTAAAAATTCCGTTTGGGCCTCCCCCCCCTCGCGCGGTCAATCAACTAGTTACAGTAACCAGCAAGAAGTCAACTAGTTACAGTAACCAGCAAGAAGCAGAACTGTAACACTGGAAACTACAAACTACAAGTGGTACAGGAAACTGCGAATCACGCGCCTCGCAGCCTGGTGGCCCCACAAGGGGGCCGGCGGATTTTTCCCACTGACCTGGACGCGGATAACTCGTACCCGCGTCAAGTGTTTCGGGCAGTGTGCCAGTTTACGGTTGAGCTTTTTGACCAGCATCCCAAGCGTGTTGGATCCTTATGCAGTGACGGTTCCTGGGCTTAGTCGAATTGTTCGGACGTTGACGAACCAGGCCCCATCGTAGTGTGTTTGTTTTGCTTTCCCTCCCATCTCCCCGTCCCCATATCCGCCTTTTCTCCCCTCCACATCTTCCTCCGCCTCCGTTACCTTCCTCTTCCCTCCCTCTCCCTTGTCCCTTCTCCTTCCTCCTCATCCCCACTTCGCTCCATCTCTTCTCGTCCTTCTCCCATCCTCACCATCCAGTCGGAGGGAAAGGGGCGGAGGGGGGAAACGGATGCGATGAGCAGGACGGACAGCCTTGGTTCGAGGACCCGTTTTTTTTCGGAATGAATTTGTTTTGCCAGAGGGTGAGAGGAGAAGGGCCCCAGGCTGAACCCAATAGACATCAGCGATGCCGCAGCTCAAGCGCCCCCCGTTGCGTCTCTACACGTGTTCATTCTCACTACGAGAGGGCCCCCATTGGCAGACTACAGGCGCACGCACGCACGCACGCACGCACGCTTTCACGCACGCACGCACGCACGCACGCACGCACGCACGCACACACACACACACTCACACACACACACATTCACACACACACACTCACACACACACACGCACACACGCTCACACACGCATACGCACGCACACGCACACGCACACGCACACACGCACACACGCACACACACACACACACGCACACACGCACACACGCACACACACGCACACACACATACACACACACACACACACACGCAAGCTCACGCACGCACGCACGCACGCACGCACGTACACACGACCACGCACGTACACACACACACACACTCACGCACGCATGCATGCATGCACGCACGCACGCACGGCTCGAGAGGGGCCCATTCGAGCCTCGACAAAAGATGGAATATTCCATCCAATTCAGTCTTTAGTTTCTTCTCCCCCCTTCCTTGAGTAGAGATAGCCTTGTTCGGGAAGTTCACAGGGAAGAGCCGTGGACCCGCAGATTAGACCATGGTGGGAACGATTGACGACATCCATCGCATCGCGATCTATATTTCCTCAAGTACATATATTGCGACAACTATGTTCCCAACATCTACGAGGATCCAGGTGCCCTTGAGGAGGATTTCGCCCAGTCCGTCTTTTGAACCCCGCTGAACTCAGAGGTTGTTCTCGGGATCCCAGATGCCCACGAGGAGTATTTCCACGCCCCCTTCGATTGCTCCCACTAGCTTTCAAAGGGCCAGTAGGTTCTTAGACGATATTGCTGTAGGGGAGAAGGTTAGAGCGGTGGCTGAGAGAGATGTGCAGCGTAGAGGTGGAGAGGCCCCCCTTGGATCGGGGGACGTGGAGCGTTTCTTGATGTTTCAGGGTGTACCCATAGACTCGACCAGATTGGAGGCACTGCTCCGAAGTAGGCACTTGCAGGAGATGGATCGGCGTAGGGAATGATTTTCCCCGCAGACCTGGACGCGGATAACTCGTACCCGCGTCAAGTGTTTCGGGCAGTGTGCCAGTTTACGGTTTAGCTTTTCTGCCAGCATCCCAAGCGTTTTGGATCTCTATTCAGTGACACTTTTTGGGCCTAGTCAAATTGTTTGGACGTGAACGAACCAGGCCCTATTGTAGTGTTTCTTTTTGTTCTGTCTTCCCTTCCCATCTCCTCGTCCCCCTATCTTTCTTTTTCTCCCCTCCACATCTTCCTCCGCCTCCCTTATCTTCCTCTTCCCTCCCTCTCCCTTCTCCCTTCTCCTTCCTCCTCATCCCCACTTCGGTCCATCTCTTCTCGTCCTTCTCCCATCCTCACCATCCAGTCGGAGGGAAGGGGGCGGAGGGAGGAGACGGATGCGATGAGCAGGACGGACAGCCCTGGTTCGAGGACCCGTTTCTTTCGGAACTTGTTTTGCCAGAGGGTGAGGTAGAGGAGTCAGAAGGGGGAGGAGGGAGCGGGAACATGAAGGAGCAGGAGGAGAAGGGGCCCAGGCTGAACCCAATAAGCATCAACGATGCCGCAGCTCAAGCGCCCCCCGTTGCGTCTCTACACGTGTTCCTTCTCACTACGGGAGGGCACCCACTGGCAGACTACAGACTCGTTGCCTTATCCAACGCGAGATCACTTTCTTAGAATTGAGT